ACATTGCATAAGTATTCATACCCTTAACTAAATATTTAGCTGAAGCACCTTAACAGCCTCAAGTATTTTTGGGTATGCTACGACAAGCTTTGCACATCAGCATTTGGCAATTATCTGTCGTTCTTCTCCTCGTCTCTTCACCTCTCAAGTTGTCAGGATGGATGAGGGCAGACGCACAATATCAGGTTTCTCCAGAAATATTTGATTGGGTTCAAGTCCAGGCTGTGGCTGGGCCACTCAATGACATTTATAGAGTTGTCTACAAGCCACTCTTGCTGTGTGTTTAGGGTCATTGTCCTGTTGGAAGGTGAACCTTCTGCCCAATCTGAGGTTCTGAATGCTCTGGACTGGGTTTTCATTAAGGCTATCTCTATATTTTGGTGCATTGAGCTTTTCTTCTACTCTGACGAGTCCCTCAGTCCCTGCTGCTGAAAAACAGCCCCACAGCATGAGGCTGCTACCAGCACACTTTACTTTTGGGATGGTACTCTGCAGGTGATGAGCAGTGCCTGGTTTCCTTCAAACATGATGCTTAGAATTGAGGTTCATCAGACTAGAGAATCTTGTTTCTCACAGTCTGAGTGTCCTTTAGGTGCTTTTTTGCAAATTCCAAGTGTGTTTTTCCATGTGTCTTCACTAAAGAGAGGATTGAGTCTGGCCACATCGACATAAAGCCCAGATTGGTGGAGTGCTGCAGTGATGTTTGTCCTTCTGTAGATTTCTCCTATCTCCACATGTGATCATGGAGCTCAGCTCAACTAGAGTGACCATCATGTTCTTGGTCACCAGTCAAACCAAAGCCCTTCTCCATCAATTGCTCAGTTTGGCCAGGAGGCCAGTTCTAGGAAGAGTTCTAGTTGTTTCAAATGTCTTCCATTAAAGGGTTAGTTCACCCAAAACCTCATATGTCATCCACCCGGAGCTGCTTCCATTTACAACAGTGAGCGCAAGCTAGATTAAATTGATTATTACATTTTAAATATGGTAGTTATTTTTCTTACAAAAATGCATCGATTCGCTACAGGAGGACTTTGTTCACACCCCGGAGCTGTGTGAGACACTTTTTTTTATGGATGGGTGCTTTTTATTTAACTTCTTTTGGACTGATGCATGCAACACCTGCTGAGTGCCATTAAACAGCTTGAAAGATCAAAGACCGTTTTTTTATATAACTCCGACTGGATTAGTTTGAAAGAAGAAAGTCATATACACCTAGGATGCATTGAGGGTGAGTAATTTATGGGCCAATTTTAATTTTTGGGTGAACTAACCCTTTAAGGGTAACAGAGACTACATGCTTCTGTGAACCTTCAATGAAGCAGAATTTTTTTCTGAACTCTGTCCCAGATGTGTGGCTTGATGCAAACCTGTTTCTGAGCTTTACAGGCAGTTCTTTTGACCTCAGGGCTTGGTTTTTGCTCTGATATGCATTTTCAGCTGCTAGACGTTTTATTAAGATGTGTGTGCCGTTCCAAATCATACCCATTCAATTGAATTTGCCACAGGTTAACTTCACTTGAAGTGTAGTAACATCTACAAGCAATATGAATGCTCCTGAGCTAAATTTTAACCGTCCTAGATAAGGGTGTGAATACTTATGCAATGGAATCAATTAAGTTTTTTTAAAGCAAAGATGCAAAGATGTTAAAAACTTGTTTTTTGCTTTGTCATTATGGTGTATAAAAACAATGTTCTCATAATAGAAGTAATGCAAAAAAACTATAATGTATAAATAAATATTAAAGTATTTAGACATCCCAGTAGTCCTTGTTGTACTGCTTTCAATTAATGTATTTTAATATATTTTATTTTAATTTATATTTAATTCAAAAAATCACCATTGAGAGTAATGTTAATTTTGCAAACTGTAAAATAAATACATTTTGGGTTGAAATATGCTTACTTTCCGTAAAAATTATTCTACAATGCCTAAAATCTTAACGGTCTCAAAATGGTCTTTTTACAAATATAATTTCTTCTTTTTAATAGAGACTTTCTGTTGAAATGATGCATGTTTTCCCCCACACCCCAGTGAGGAGTGATAGACCAAAATGCAACGACAGAGAAAAAGCTCGACAGAGACGCACTCAGGTCATTATCAGTCCATCAGCCAGCTGTCTCCAACAATATTCACCATATTCACCTTCACTGTGTCTGTCTGTCGGCCCACCTGTCTGCCTGCTGCAGACGAGCCCGTCTCTCCCCCGCTAATGAATAGGTCCAGCCCAATAATGGACTCTTTAGAAAACGCTGTCAGTGTGAAGAGCTGTTTGGGTGTGCTCATGTGACCCTGTAGGGCACGGAAAAGGAGCCCTGTTTATCCAAAGAGTGCTTTCACATTTAATCCATTCATTAAGCACGGAATGGTGTAATTATGCTGTGTGTTAACCACGGATGAAGATCAGACTCTGTGTGTGTGTGCGGGGGGGCGAGAGAGAGAGAGACGTTTGTTTCTGGGGCTGTGCGGGAAACAAAACAGGCGGCCATGAATATATAATAATGTTTATTGTTATTAAAAATCAGGCTTACAAGGGAAATGTCTGCGGATGGGAATAATTCAAGACAAACATTCCAACTTTCAAGATTCGGGGAGGAATTTGCGAAGAACCAACTGATAACGTTGTTAATTTGCGCATGCATTGTTTAGTACTAAAGGAATGATGCAAATCAGAGGACGACGCAAAAAGGATGATTTTTTGCAGGGCGCAATTTGTGATCCCAATGCCATTTTGGAGTGCTGAATTGCTTTAAAAATGAAAGTGTGGGTGAATGAGAGAATAAGACGCAGGAATTGTGTTGAAGTATTGTAAATGTACGGAGATGTTCAAAAAAATTAAATGGTAAATCAGTCGACTTTTGTGGTGTCTACCTTTGTTTTATTTCGTTTAACAAAAATATTTTTTGTTGTAGTTAACAATATTATGGCTGAATTCTCATTACAGTAATGTAAAAATATATTCTCATTATTGTCATACAAAAACTACAAAAAGATATGAAATTATACAGTATATACGTCCATTTAGTATTTGTTTTACTGTTTGTTTACATTTTATTTTAATAAATTAAATGTAAAAAACACAAAATAATGTGAATTTTGCAAAAAATAAAATAAATGTACTATTTGCAGTGAAAACAATGTCACAATTTAAAAAATCTTAAAACTTTTAAAACTTTTAAACTTGTCTTACTTTTAATTGGTACTTTCTGGTGAAATTATGCACATTTTGTCTTTTTTTTTTTAAATTTTTTAGGTAGAACTAGAGATGATAATGTGTCGTTAGATGTAGAGTTTACACAAACATTTAAATAAAAGTTTTTTTTTCTTTTGCACAAAAAAAAATCCTAGCACCTGATTTTTTTTTAATCTTTGTTGGACTTTTATTTTGATATCATGTTGTAAAGTCTTTTATTTTTAAAATGTTTTGCTTCCTTTTGTTGTTAATCAATTAGGGTTTTGCATTTTGCCCTCAGTTTTGCCTTGTTCTTTGTTGTGCGTTAAATGTGTGATTTCCAGCCGTTTTGGTAAGTTTTCTCTGAATTAAGTACTTTTGCTTTTGTTTACACTATATTGTAGGATTAGCTATCGTATTACTTGCTATTATTATGTTTTTTTTAATCTCAGTTGTAGCGCTCTAATGTCATTCTTGCTTGTGTTTTAATGCACTACACCAGGTTTGACTTTATTGTTGTCATATTTCATTGGTTCCTCTCATTATTGACTGCAAACCATGATTGTGTTGTCTTGATGTACTGCGTTTAAATTGAATGAGATTTTGTATTTTTCATCCTTTGAATTTTTAAATTATCATTAGCATTAGCTAATTATTTGACTTTAAACCAGTACTGCTATCATGGGCGGTGCATTGAAACACATCAACACAGGGTATGGCCAATCAGGGCACAGAGAATTCTTTGAGTGGGTGGAGTCTGGAACACTAATGGAACATGAGCAGTGATTTCATTAACCCAGGACAGATTTAATTAACCCTGGACTGATTTTATTAGCTAAACGGTATTAAAGACATGGGAAGGGGGTCTTTTTCACTCTCTCTGCCAATCATAGCCATCATCAGCCTCTGTTCTCTGAAGAAAAACCCTTTCAGATAAGTTTATTCAGTTTATGAATGGCTGCCATCATGGTTTGATACGGTACGGTTTGACAGAGAAAGAAAGAGCAGTTATGGCACAACATAGTGCTTATAACAGAATAACAAAAATGTGAGATTAAGTGTTTCCACTGTAAAATGTTGGTTGTTTACCTCAGGAAGTTACACAAACAATCTTGATATAAAAAAAAAATGTTTCAGGTATTGTTTAAAAAATAACTTGTGTGTGTATAATAGGGCTTAATATTGATTTATTTTCATCTTTATTTTTGAGAAATGTTGGTTGTTTACCTCGGGAGGTATTACTAAATAACTTTTTTTTTTAGCATTTATTTTAAATAATAATTAATTTCAATTATTATTTTTCAAAAAAATTCCTTTATATTTGTTATTTTATATTTTGAATTATATTTTATATTTAATTTTAAATATTTATTTTAAAAAGCAAAAATATAAATATAAAATATCTTTATTTGTTTAAATATCTTAATTCTTTATCATTTATTTGAACTAATTTAAAAAAAATATTAAAATGTCTATATATTGTTATTTTTACGTTTATTTTAAAAAGTAAAACACGTAAATATAAAAGATCTTTTAAATTTAAATAAATTATATATATTTTGAATTATTTCAAATAATTTTAATATTTCAATTATTTTTAGAATAGCTGTTGTAATTATTGTATTGTAATTGTATATAATTTTTATATTTTCATATATATGTGTGTGTGTGTATGTGTGTGTGTGTACGTACAATTGTAATAAATTATTTAAATAATTAAATAAAGAATTATTTTTATCACTTACATTTAAAATTCTATAACCATCTTATTGCTTTAAAGAAAATAAATTGACACTGCTTTGTACCCTATGCATAGAAATCGCCCCATACCTCTCATTAACAAACATAATCATCATGTTTAAGCTCTTTAATTAACAAACACAATCATCTTGTTTAACCTTTTGTTTTTGCAAATATGGATCTGAATCATCTACATCTTTCTCAGCTGTGAGCACTTCCCTCCAGACAGCAGAATATGTTATGTGTTAAAGGGTTAAATACGGTTTTAATTGTGATGCTAATGTGCTCTGAGATGGGAGAGATTATTACGCCCTCAGGGACGGAGAGATGGAGGAATGGAGGAGAAGAGCCGAGCGAGCTGAGGTGGGAGGGATCCGGTCGGGGTATTTTAATGAGTGCACCTGAAATAAACAAAGAGATATCAGATTTGTCCAGTGACATGCTTGCAATATCCCCTTATGCCAACAATGACAGCAACTCTCTGGGAGTGTTCGGACTCGGACTGGTGAATCCCATATTATCGGGCAGGAGCCAACCGGGATGCCATGTGGGCTCAAATCCGAGCTGTCGCAGGGTCTTATCAGCCCCCGCCAGCCGCTAATCAATAATCTGATAGCGTCTCTGACATGATTGCATCTAAATTGGAGACATCTCCCTCTCTTTTTCTGAGACAAACACTGTGTTTTTGAATTTTGATGTCTGCAATAGGGGATTTTTGGGTTTAACCTTCTGTTTGTTTTATGGTTTTTGGCAGTATTGTTGCAAATCCTCGGAGCCAAGGAAAACGGGATGGATTAGGAGCGAATTCTGGCTCGCTGTGGTCCAGATGTGTTTGGGAATGGTTGGTCGGGGAGCCTCTGCAAGATGTTGGGCAATTTTGGAGAAAATTAGAAATAAGCAAGAGGGTTTGTTGACCTCATTTTTGTGGATGTTGAGTTCCACCCTGATACAGACACATTTTTTGTGGTCGGCTCAGCAGAAGAAATCCCAATGTTTCATTTTCACCCCGTTAGTTCACTGCTGAGCTATTAGCTTGCCGTTAAAAGAGGGAATTTGGAGATAAAAAACGGAGGGATTTAAGCTATAGGCTATTTTAAATTCTACAATCTTAAGGGTTCTGTACCTCTGAAAACCTTTGGGAACAGGCCTGAATTTGTCTTTGCATGTCAAATGCTGCCTTTTTCCATTGCTGGAGTGCAGATTGTGGTGCCAGATTCTGATGGAGTTGGTTCTGGGCTGGAAAAATCACTTCTGTTCTCCTAAAACCTGCTGGTCTTAATCCAGAGGCTGGTATGTTAGAGGTGGGATTATGTCCAAACCAAGTCTACAGAACAGAAGTTAGAAAACCTTAACAACTGCATAGCAACATACTAAAACCATTCTGAAAACTGTAAAAACTGCATAGCGACTTATTAAAACTACTTCAAAAACCTTAACAACCCCACAGCAATGCAGTAAAACCACTCCAAAGAAACTTAACCAAATAGCAATGCACTAAAACCACTCAGAACACCTTAGCAACCTTAGTCACATAGCAACATGTGAAAACCTTAACAACTGCAGAGCAACATACTAAATCCACTCTGAAAACCTTAACAACTGCATAGCAATATACTAAAAACAGAAAAATGTATTATTAACCATTCAGCCAAATTTGAATGATAAAAAAAATCAGCTAAGTACATAAAATAAGTTATCGAAATCTTGAAAAAAATGGGTGGTATCCTCTGCTCTCAAACGCTGGCGGCGTGTCCGCTGTCTGCGCTGAAACCTCGCCCACTCGCGGGAAAGCTGCCGCCTCTTAACTGCCTGAATGGATGCTCATAGCAGCTTAATTGGATTTACAAAGCCATACATATTTGCCCATACATATTTGCTCCGGTGCGTCATCGACAGTTATTATAGTGTTAGGGGAGGGGCCATGATCGGTGGGTCCAGTGCGTCATCGAGCCACCGTTTTAGCCCCGCCCAAAAAATCCTGAACACAGAATTGGTGAAAAACTGTTTAATGGTCTAACTCCACTATTCAGTACTACAGAATTCACAGTATTTGTAATGTGTTTCAGCAATACATTTGTAACATTTATAATGCGTTTAGAAACAATTCTCAGAATTGACTTTACAGGGACTTTAACAACCACACAGCAACACACTAAAACCACTCAAAAACCTTAACAACCACTTAGAAACAGGCTAAAACCAATCTGAAAACCTCAACAACCGCATAGCAAAACACTAAAACCATTCTGAAAACCTTAAAGGGGTGGTTCATTGGGATTTCACTTTTTTAACGTTAGTGTGTAATGTTGCTGTTTGAGCATAAACAATATCTGCAAAGTTACGAAGCTGAAAGTTCAATGCAAACGGAGATATCGTCTTTTACAATTCTGGCAGTTTAATGCCTACAAAAACGGCTGGTAGGGACTACAACAAGTTACTTCCTGGGTTCGTGACATCATGACCCAGATAAACCCATGGACGCGCATGCGGTTGCTGTACTGTATTAAAGCTTTAATCAGGATAAAACCGTATATTAAAAGCTAACAAGCAGCAGCATTTACAACAGTGTATCTAAAAGTATGAGACAACAACAATTAAGGCCTACCATTAAAAGCCGTGCTTGCACAGGTTCTGCACGATCCTCTTCAATAATATCCTCTGCTTCTCAATCGGGCTCAAACTGATAAGCGATATTAACGACGCCGTTGTTTACAATACAACCGGAGCACATGCCGCTGAGGTGAGGGGCGGGACGATTAGACGCGCACTAGAGGCGGTTTAGCCAATCACAACACACAGGGCTAGCTAACCAATCAGAGCCCATCGCCCATTTCTGAGGGAGGGGCTTCATAAAAACAGGAAAAGATCAGCCCATTTCTCAGAGAAGGGACAGAGCGGTGTGGAATAAAGGTAAATTATGTGAAAAATAATGCGTTTTTTTTTTTTTTAAACGAAGCATTAACACATGTTAGACTGCACCCCATAAACACAATCAAGCCTAGAAAAAACCCAGTGCACCCCTTTAACAACCACTTAGCAACACACTAATACAACTCCGTTAACCTTAAGAATCGCATAGCGATGCACTAAAACCATTCCAAAAACCTCAATTACATAGATACAGACTAAAACCATTATGAAAACCCTAATAAGCTCTTAACGACACACTAAAACCACTCCAAAAACCTTAACAACTGCATAGCAACAGACTAAAACCACTCCAAAAACCTTAACAACCAGTTAGAAGCAGGCTAAAACCATTCTGAAAACCTTACCAACCATTTAGCAACAGAATAAAACCACTCCAAAAACCCTAATAACCACTTAGCAACAGACTAAAACCACTCCGAAAACCTTAACCACTTAGAAACAGACTAAAACCATTATAAAAACCCTAACAACTGCATAGCGACACACTAAAACCACTCCGAAAACCTTAACCGCATAGCGACACACTAAAACCACTCCGAAAACCTTAACCGCATAGCAACGCACTAAAACCGTTCCGATAACCTTAACAACCGCATAGCGATGCACTAAAACTACTCTGAAAACCTTAACAACCACATAGCAACCCACTAAAATACTCCAAAAAACTTAACTGCATAGCGA